TGGTATACCAGTAACATGCTTTATGTTATAATATTTGAAAAATTGTTCCAATTTCGTAGAGACATATGCTGGAGCATTGTCAGTTTTTATTTGTGTAGGTATACCCATAACTGCCATCACCGCCTTCTTAGGGGCTGGCTACACCCACCAACAGTGGAGGAGTGTTCCCCTTTCTCTACACCCTCTCCAGCATAAACTGTCATTGGTACTTCTGATTTTGGCCATTCTGATAGGAGTAAGATGGTATCTTAGAGTTGTTTTGATTTGCATTTCCCTGATGGCTAAGGATGTTGAGCACTTTCTTAAATGTCTATCCACCATTTTAGACTACTCTATTAAGAAATCTCTATTTAGTTCTGTATCCCACTTTTTAACTGGATTATTGGGTGTTTTGGAGACTAGCTTCTTGAGTTCTTTATAAATTTTGGAGACCAGGCCTCTGTCAGAAGTAGGGTTGGTAAATATCTTTTCCCAGTCTGTGGGCCACAGTCCTCCCACTTTCTCTTCTAAGATGTTCAGTGTAGCTGGATTTATGTTGAGGTCTTTGATCCATTTGGACTTAAGTTTTATGCATGGTGATAGATATGAATCTATCTGCAGTCTTCTACATGCCAGCATCCAGTTATGCCAGAAATATTCTTTCTTTTTTCCATTGTATAATTTTAGCTTCTTTGTCAAAAATCATGTGTTCGTAGGTGTGTGGGCTAATATCAGGGTTTTCAATTTGATTCCATTGGTCTATCTACCTGTCTATTTTTGTGCCAATACCAAGTTGTTTTCAGGACTAGAGTTTGAAGTCAGAGATAGTGTTGCCTCTGGAAGTTCCTTTATTGTACATGGTTGATTTGGCTATCCTGGGTCTTTTGTTTTTCCATATAAAGTTGAGTATTATTCTTTCAAGGTCTGTGAAGAATTGTTGGTTACCTTTTCGTGGCTTCCATTCAGTCAGTGAGGCAGCTGGAAACCCCCTTGCCTGTCACAGCTGACCACAATCCGACAATGACAAGCTTGAGATGATTAATTAGGTCAAAGAAGAGAGAGAAAAAAAGTGTTATGTTATGCTCCTGTTAGATTCCAGGCAATCTGCTAATTGCTCCATGGCATGCAAAGCACATGGCCACTCACCCTCTTTCTCAGTCATCGGGGAAACCTTTGCAGTAGAGATGGCTTGGCACTAGATTTGGAAGCCCCACACACAGGCTTATATCCTCATGCAGGAAATGAAACCTCTGTCCACCGTACAACCAGTGCCAGGCAGCTATGGAGGTCAACCCTGAGCCACTGGCTCGGCCGACCTTCCTCTATTATCAGGTCTCTGTGAGAACATTCAATTTTATGTCTGCTATGTCCACTGGGCACTTTCCAGGAGAGTGCTGTCCCTCAGACAGACTTCCCCAGCATCTGCCCCTTGGACCAGTTCACAATAGCCTCTGAGCATAGCTTTATCTCCTTCCCCCAGGATACTTTCCCTTTCACTGGCCCATACTCCAGGCAGCATGGGCTTTTTAACACATGCCATTTTTGTCACACCATGTCCTCTTTGTCCAAACTCTCTCTTGGGGCTTAATCTCCCACACAGAGCATTTCAAAGGCCTTTCCCTCATCCCAGCTGGTACTATCATCCTTAACTCTAGAACCATGGTTTTCAGCTCTTTCAGCCTCAATACCCTTTCTTCAAACAGAGATTTAATAGAAGGATCCAAAATATCAAACAGGAAAGCCAGAGCTCCACTGACCTAAGCAGGAGTAGGGTCCAAGGAGCCTGCCCAGCCAATTTTCACTCTGTCTGCCCTAAGGGATCACAGGGAGGATGGCTGAAGGCACAAGAATTCCCCAGGGCTGTGGAAAGCAGATGAATAATGCCACCAGAAACCATGTTTTCTCTCCAGTCAGACTGTCTCCTTTCCTCTTGACCCGTTCATCCATCATCGGCCCTTCATAATCTCCTGGATCCCCTTTTGTTGTTTTCCTTGCTGTCACGTTCATTCAAGCCACCATCATTTTGTGGTTCTGAGTCAGGCTGAGACAGACCCTAAGG